CAGTTGGTTGCAAGCCAGGAATTGAACCTGAGTTCTCTGGAAGAGTAGCGAATGCTCTTAACCAGCAAGCCATCTTTTCAGGCTCCCAAAAATGTACCTTTTCACCACAAAACAAAGATCTTTAATTGCTAGTAGTAATCAGGTTATTCATTTATTTATTTACTTTTTTTTTTGTCTTGTCTTGCTGGGGAACTGACTTCTAAGCAACATCTGCACCCCCGAAATCAGAGATTCCTGGATTCATGGCTCAGCAGTAAAGGTGCTTGCTGTGATCCGAGTTCAAAGCCCCAGAATCTACATATACGTGGAAGACAACAGACTCCATAAAATTGTCATATGACCTCCACATTTATTCCCTGGCATGTGTGCTCTCGTACACATATCTTGCACATACATACAATCATAAGTAAAATATTTTACAGGAAGACATTCATCATGAGCCTGGGGTTTTAAAACCCCACCACAGGTTGGGGAGATGGCTTAGCTGGAAAGTGCTTCCTTAACAAGTCTGAGGACCTGAGTTTGGATTCCCCAGACTCGGCATGTTGGGATACACCTATAATCCAACAACAGTGAGATGGGAGGCAGACACAGGAGAATACCTGAAGCTCTTGGCACATTAACAGGTCACTGGAGACTCAAGAAAAGGTGTAAGGCACCCGAGGAACAGCACCCACAGCTGTCCTTTGACTTCTGCCCTGATAATGTGCATACAAGTACCTGTACCCACTAAAAGGTCAGCGACCCCATCTCAAACCTTCCGGATCCAGTAAACAGTCATCTTGGCATAGCATCGGCCAAACAAAAACCTTGTTTGTCTGAATTGTTTCTTCTTTCTTTGTGTGCTCATGGGAAGAGTAGCAGTACAGACCAGAGAAGATAACACCCTTCAAGCCCTCAGTGACCTTCTCCCAAGGGAAGGGAGACTTATCTTCACAATGGATGTGGAATATTGATTAACACAGTGGACATTCTAATTTAAGAATCAAGACCATGCATGTGACTCCTGGCAAATAAAGAAGTGTTTTACCAATTGACCCATGATTAATGAGGACACTTGTTTGCAGACAGGAAGGAGGAGAGATTCAGTTGTCCTTCTTTTCCTCCTTGCAGCATATTTTGATCTTATCTTCCCCGGCTCATAGCCACCCATACCACTGACATGCTTTTGACGTCTTGGACCAGTAAGCTCAATATGACTACTCAGGGACCATCCCCCCAAAGTTGTCTGTTTTTAGCTTGGAAATGTCCCACGATGACCCATGTTCTCTATGGAGCATGCACACTTGAAGTGGAAGCTACATTTAATTAATATTCATTCTCACTCTGCGCCTGCAAGGCCATATAAAACAATCTCTGCATTTGATTGGTCAAGACTTTCTACATAGTTTAAATAGTATATAATGTATCTTCTGAAGTCTATCATACATCATGAGTTTTGTTAGATATAATAAAACAAAAAATGATTTGTGTATTAATATGTTAGCCACTCAAGTTCAACATCTCTGTATAAGTGTTCTGTAATTTTCCCATTTTCTCACTTGCCTATGCTTAATCAGAACTCTTGAAAATTCTTACAATTAGTGAAGGGCAGACATGTATTAGTCTAGCTGCTGAATCAGTGTACAACCCTATGATGTATAGGGAAAAAATCCCTCTTATGGCAGTTATTGTATTAATCCACACTACTTCCGATTTTTTGGTAGTGAACATTTATTTGCTAAATAGAAAATTCAAAACAACGATTAAATGAGTTTTCCACATATGTGGCAATTCAGAGAAATCTCAGACCATACAAGTATTCCAAATCAACAACATTCAGTGATTTATCGTTGTTTTATAGAGAGATGTTAACACTAGTCCATTATGAAAGTTGACCACCAGATGTCACTGTTGTAAAGTATACATTTCTCCAGATTCTTATCAAAAGATCTCTGGGGTTGCTTGAAAAAATATTGTGGAAACAGATTGTGTGGGTACACTTACTCCGATTGGTGGCTTGACAAGTGATCAAGAACCCTCTTGGGCAGTGGTGGGTGGGTGAGGTGGGTTGATTCCAGTGACATCTACACAGCCAGGTGTCTTGAGAGCTGCAGATTTCTTCATGGCCCTGGATTCACACTGCCTGGAGCAGCCTCGGTGCTATACAAACCAGATACCCCTGGGCACAACCGTTGTACCTAGTGCTGTGTCCCATCCCAGCCCCTGGGGTCTCCAATAGCTTGTTTTTCTGCCCTGCACCCTAGGAGGTGACAGCAACTGCTGGGGCCTGTTTTCCATCCTTCATGCTGGACTTTGGAGCAGTTGGTAGAACAACATCAAAGAGATAGACTCTTCTAAGCCGGGAATAGGGATTAGGAGTCTTACTCTGTCATTGGGTTTCATTGTGAGAATAACATGAGAGTCTTCTGGCTTGATATTTACTCTAAAGATCTATTTGACATTGATCTGACTTTCATCTACTTGGGCTAAGGTGGTTCGAGGTGCTTAAAGGGAACAGTATCAAGACTACCTAAACACGAACAAGCAAATTGTACCTCAAATTACATCATTCAATGCCCACTTCATTCAAGGTTCACTCATGGCTGTCTGGCTTGACAGCTTTGTTCCCTGCAGGGAAGGGAATGTGAAACAAGCAGTCACAGGGCACAGGGACAAAGGTAATATGTAATATTACCCTTATATAGTAATAGGTAATATGGAGGAGATCAGTGTGCCTTTCTCACAAAGAGAGTTTAGACTTTGTGGGTCACAATGCAAAACAAGGGTATGTATATACCATCTAAATAAATACCTGGAACCTCCTAGGACTGTCATATTGGCACAAGAACACAGCAGTCAGTCCATGGGCCTATTAAGGGACTCCTCTGGATGCCCTGGGTTCACTGTATGATAAAGGCAGCAATAAGAATCCGTGAACAAAGACAAGTGATGCTGCAAAACTAGACTCCAGAGACAAGTGATGCTGCAAAACTAGACTCCCGCTTCACCTGACATAGAAAGCTGGAGTCCAGCTAGACTGAAAACTTCGCTTTGGTTTGGATGATGTCTCTCAAAAGCTGATGTGCTCAAGACTTTGTCCCTGTGGTGGGACTATGAAGTCTGTATGGAACCTTAGGAAACATAGGGTCATGGTGGGGGAAGAGGTGCCATTGAAGGGCGTTGTGGGACCTTGGCTTCTTCCTGATCATAAGGTGGATGGCTCTCTCTGCTATGTGCTCCCACTGGGAAGGGCTGCCCTTGGTAGAGGTTGAATGCAATGGGCCATCTGATGCTAGATTGTAGCCTTTGGAATTATGAGTCCAAATAATCCCCCCAACTTGTGTGTGTGTGTGTGTGTGTGTGTGTGTGTGTGTGTTTCTTTTGGATGACCTGAAACTTATTGTGTAGGCTAGATCTGCCTTGAACTCACAGAGCTCCACCTGTCTTTGCCCCCTGAGTGCTAGCATTAAAGGTGTGTGTCACCACAATCTTGTTTCTTTATTATCTCAGATATTTTCTTACAATAACATGAGGCCAGTAACGTGTTTATTATGTTAATAAACATTTGATATGTTAGATAAAATTATGAAATTGGTAAGAGAAAACACAGAACACTTATGTACAAGAAGCAAAGTAAAACCTTCCACAACAAAAACTTAAAAGCTGGAAACAAATCCTGGCTCCAAACTAGTGGATCTGGTCATATCATATGCAATTGGTGTCACTGATGGATACTCTGGGTTAGGATAACAGTGACTGAGGAAGAGAGAATGTTCACCATATGTGAAGTCAACTGACTGCACTATACTGGAACTAAGAACTCCAGTATACCTGCCCACAAGAAAATGAAATTTTCATAAGAAAACTGGCAAGAGAGTGGGCATGATGGCATACTATTTAATTCCTGGACTCGGGAGGCAGAGGCAAGCAGATCTTTTGTGAGTTCAAGGCCAGCCTGGCCTATATAGCAAGCTCCAAGCCAGCCAGGGCTACATAGAGAGAGCCTGTCAAACAAACAATCTACAAAACAATTTACTAAAGATGAAATGTCACAGTAGAGGAATGAACTCTGGTTCATTCACTGGTATCCAGGAACATGCTAATCACGCCTGCATCAAGATTCCAATCTAGACTAGCAAAAATTGAAGGAGGTTCTACCCAGGTTGGAAGAGGTGTGGTAATACAAGAACTCTCAGGAGACTTTGGTGGACACATGATAAGGGCAGAGTTTCTGGAGGAAATTTGCTTTGACAAATTGTATTTGCTCATATTCCATGGTGGAGACTTTCCATTTGGCAACAACCAAAGGCATTCTGAAGATCCTCAAGGGGAAATGCAAATTCGATTCTGTGCAGCTTCAGGGACTGGCAAGGGGCTAGAGGGCACAGGGCGAATGGTTGATGTTCAGGTAGGGCTCCTGGGCAGCGGCTAGAAACTTTGCATTTATATCTTGTTCCTTGATCTCCCCTTTCTTCTTCTTTTCCTTTCCACTCTGGTTCTCCCCCTCCTCCCAGTCTCTTTCATTTTTGAGAGGGAGAAGATTTTCCTTGTTGGCTTATTTGTTATAAGTCTTTTTTTGGCCAATGGAATGGTTATGCTACGATTTGAGTACATTCATACCTTTCTGTCTCCTGTCTTTAAGGGATCCTCAGAAGGAGAACTTTACACAGTGTTCTCCTTCTTTCTCTCTTTATCACATTATCCTCTACATATTAAAACAGCATGACATGTCATTGTTGTGTGGTTTGAACAGCCGATTGCCCTTTAAGTATATAGGTAAAAAGTCAGACGCACCTGTGGCAGCCATGGCTTTTTTGATTTGTGCAGAGTCCGGTTTTCGTCTGGCATGGTTTTCCCTCTGCCTGGTAGGATTCCTTCAGAATTCTGGCTGGCGCATGGTAATTTCCATAGAGAAGTTGGTCACTATTTTAATGTCTTGATGCAAACAACAGCATCACTTTCTACTGCTTTGCTTTCCTCCCTTTGGAAATCATATTTTCCTGTTTCT